CTTTTTTGAATAAATCATACTTTAACCAAAAACATGATTATTTTAAAATTTGGTAAGATACTAAGAGTAAATAATTTTAGAACTTATTTAAATATTCAAAACTGTAAACAAAGCACTAGTCAAAGAAAAAAGTAATGCTATATCAATTTAGTAAATTTTTACATTTACTTATTAATAAAAAGAGCAACTCATACGTACGTAGTAAAACGATCTTATTGAAAATACACTTTTTTTAATCGTCTTAGATACCTTGATAGAGTATAAAAAAAAAGGTTAAGAGCAAGAATAATGCGACCAATATGTTATCGTCATATGTTAATTTGTTTGCCAATCAAAATTCAGAAATTTCTATATAATTAACGTTAATCATTATCGTTATATAATTGTTATTACGATTAATCGTAATTGTTTTTATACGTATCAACCAACAAAAAAGTATCACTTCAACTGACATTCACTAGTTCCAGTTCAGTCAACAACATTGTTTATAGTTTATCAATCAAAGCCATGAAGGAGATACCTCAAATTGCCATTGCATTTGGAGATTATTCTACTTGCAACCTGTCAGATCCAGAGTGTACAAGTATCTCTAGCTTGCTAGAGAGTCAAGCTTCGTCTCAATATACAGACGCAGCACTACAACAACAACTGAATGCTGTCCGTGGCTTATTAAGTCAGGTTGATGTGAGTTATGTGTAAGTAGGAGTACTTGCTATTCAATTTCCACACCTTTTTTTTACGTGCTGATGCATTCAATTCTGGATCTAAATGGATCCAAGGGGAAAAAAAAACAAAATACATTAATTCTAAATCGATTCAATTTTACATAATCTTAGGAGATTTAAAAATCCATCAGAAACATCTTCGCAACCATCGTTCGAATATGCATTCACTCCACAACCATCAATTCCACAAAAAAGATCATTTACACAAGTTATGGACATTACACCACAAGATGCTAGAGAAAATACATCAATGCATGCAGAATTTCATCAGAATGCCTATCAAGTATCAAGCTTAGGTCCTCAATTACAATCAGACAGATTTCAGGGTTCTATACCAGAAACTCTTGTTAATAATGGCTTATCTCAGCAAACTGCATACTTTCAAGACTCCTATAAAAAACCATGTACCTTATCCCCAGCGGTCTTTGTGGAAATGCCAGCACTC